ATCAGCGGCCATCCCCCCATTCCCAGTATTCATCCAGGAGTGGAGCGGAGGGGTGCGAAGTCTGCCCATACATTGAGTTAATGGGGAGAGGGGCCCTGCGATGAACCGACGCCCCCCCCCCCCTCGCTCCGGCCTAGCACAAGAAGTATCACAGAGAATTTGGAAATCATATTTTATTGAAACCATTCGGTTGCCCAGCTGAACAGGTCACTCTGATTTCTTCACACATCATCATCGTCATCATCATCATCATGACAACCATCATCACTTTCAGCAGGTTTATGTCAACTGCGGACGATGGCCTCTCCCACTGATATCCGATTTCGCGCTAGCGGGTTCCATTACACGCCTGCAAACTTTTTAATATCGCAACTCAGGATAACTCTCTTGCCATATTCGGGTGTTTCTCATTCCTCGTTCCCATCCCTTGGTAACAATTGCTGTAATTATAGGCATGTGTCAAAACATAAGTTTTTGTATTTTTCAGGTACAAGCTATCACAATTTATCCTTTCGCGCTTAATGCCTTGCCCTTAAAATGTGATCCTAATTTCTCAATTTCCGATTTGTAAATTACTTATTCCTAACCTTTATGGCATTTTGTATACTTACCCCCACCCCCACCCCATCCCCGCTTTTGGTCAATTGCCCACAGTGCTCATGAATTTGAGCCCCTGTTGGCTAAGTGAACGAAACCAACAGCTGCGACCGAGAGGCACCCGTCGCAGTAGTGTAGTAGTTATGGAGCTCGATTGCTAACTCGAAAGTCAAGGAAGTGAATCACGGCAACGGTGGCCACCTTTCTACGGTGGTAAAATGCTTAGACTTAGACGCACGTTAAAGAAGCCCAGGTGGGTAAAATGTCCTGAGCCCTCCACCACGTCGTCCCTGATAATCATATCGTGCTTTCGGGACGTAAAGCCTCCCAAACTATTTTTAGAAATAAATTCTGGATCTAGCTAGTACCATCGTCTTCTCTGCGTGTTCTTTCGTGTTTATCATTGCTATTATTTTAGTTCGCTGTCCTATAACTGCGATGTAATTGCAACACATACATTAGACATGTTATAGGCACAACGGACGCAAAAAGAGAGACCCGGAGTAGTACAGTAGTTGCGTTGGCTGTGAATTTATTTTCCGCAAAAGGAAAGCTGCTGCCAATTTCCGTAAGAACAGCCCTCTAAGAGAAGCATTAGCGGCTTAGTGCGAAACATTAGCGACGGCAGCACTATCCAACGGTTGTCACAACGTTAGCCAACAATAAAAACAAATTACACCGAGAGTAATCAACAGTAGTCAACCCTAGCCAACATAGCAGATTATCATCGGAATACTGCACACTTCTTCATTTCAGCCTCTACCAGTATAGTCGACAAGCTCACAATCTTCTGAAGATTTCTTTTGTTTGTTTGCTTGCTTTTGTTTTTCAAAGCTCGGTCAAATGGAAGTTACGAGGACGTGCAGAAAAAAAAACAAGAACAAATCAAGTGGACTAATAATAGTATGCGGGGTTTAACGTCCCTAACCACCATATTGCCAGAAGCATTAGTCGTAATCGCAACAGGGGAGGAAGAAGCCAGCGTCACGAGTGGCATTTTCTGGCGTTTTTCGAGGAAGACGACGTTGCGCGTCTGCTCCTGCGTTTTGTTCTTGTGTGCGAATAGAGCCTTGCCGTTCTAATCGAAACGAAGCCTTGTCCCTTATTCTTGAAAAAGTGTGATTGATTGATTTATTTGTGGGGTTTAACGTCCCAAAACCACGCTATGATTATGAGAGACACCGTAGTGGAGGGCTCCGGAAATTTCGATCACCTGGGGTTCTTTAACGTGCGTCCAAATGTGAGCACAAGGGCCGATAGCATTTTCGCCTCCATCGAAAATGCAGCCGAAGCCGCGATTCAATCCCGCGACCTGCGGGTCAGAAGACGAGTACCTTGGCCACTAGTCCAACGCGACGGGGCAATCAAGCGGGCTACATGGTGGGATGATGAAAGCAGGGCGGCTGCTATAGGCACCGTGGGTCGACGCCGGAAACAGCGTTCACGTTAATGAGGGCAGCCCACCACCGTAATGGCTAGAGGCGCGGTTTTTGAGCACGTATTGCCAATCGATACGCCCTCCCTGCCTTTCGTCGGGTCTCCACGCATATCCATGAATTACTTTATTTTCATAGTTTCAAAGCGATTTATCTTGTCTCGTGAATAATTTTCTACTTTTTTTTATTTCTCGCAATCGCGATATAAGTAAGCTGGTACGAAGAATGAAAAAGTACAAACGGGGGGGCGGTGTAGTAATCCGGTTTTCCCGAAGAATCGACGTGACACGTGACAGGTGTGGGCCAATCAGGTCAGAGGCGGGGGAGAGGGGGGAGCAAACACTCAGGGCAATGTGTATAGGTCAGTCACGTATTTCGATGCCGTGTCAGAGATAATGTCAGCGGTTTGAAAGGATGACCCAAAAGTCCCGAAAGCACGATCCAACGATCCATTTTGTTTCAGCGTTATTTGATGTCACATTTATGATCTTAGTGAGGTGAAGGCAACAACACTAATTGTTGACCGGACTGGCCGGTGATATGTAGTGAATGTACAACGCACGACCAAACACGAGAAGAAGGCATACAGAGTCACTTTACAACCACGAAGAGCTGTCTGGTTTCCGACTGAATTTAAGAGACCTTGATACACAATAAATTGTTACGCAGTACACCAACATGCAAGAACGCTGACCTAGTGGACGAAACTGGTAGATTCCGGAAATTCTGGTGGGAAAATTCACAACTATCGCGTATTCCTAGTGGCCCTGCACACAACCATTATACCGGTAACACTGAGGAAGAAACTTATATAACACTAGCTTGGTTAATTGACTGTTAGAGTTTAACGTTGCAAAATCACAATATGACTATAAGAGACGCCGTAGTGTAGAGCTCCAGATATCTCGACCTCCTGAGGCTCTTTAACGTGCACCTAAATCTAGGCACTTGTACCTCAAGAATTTTCTTCTCCATCGAAAATGCTGCCGCCGCGGCCGGAATTCGATCCCAGCATCTGCGGGTCAGCAGCCGAGTTCCTTAGCCCCTAGATCACCACGGCGAGTGATCACTGTCCTGTCATATATATGCTCGAGGCATTACATGACAATTCGTGCATATCATGAACGTCAAGAGAAGAATGGTGATGCTAACGCCGAGATATCCATCTCGCGATCAACTACATGCTGCGCTCGTAGTGTTCTGAATGTGTTCTTCCTAGTGGATTTTCAACCGAAGCACAACGTTGCGCAGAAAACATGTTTAGACGCAGCCTATAGCTCGAAACCTGCACAAACTGTTGCTTACTTTCCCGTCTACAACGTTTTCTTCAGGTTATCGAGGACGGCTTCTCAGAAGACGTAGACATTCAAGCATGAAGACTTATTCATGACACACGTAAGTAAAAATAATCACCCGTCCGTTGTCTGATTGATTTGCTACCGCTATAACCACACACATGCATCATTTATAACGGCTATAGCACTCTAACCAAGGCTTGCATCCTACTGGTGTACTATAGTTCAATATCTGTGACGCATGTGGGACTAATGGCCACGATGAACTGCTTCTCACATGGACGTGCTCTACCCGCGGTCCTGTCGTGCTTCTGTGTGCATTACAAGGCCCACACGTGATCCATTCTGATTGGCTCGAAAAGTCGAAGCATTGACCAACTGGCTGCGTTCTATTTCTAAGTGTGGATCATTACTTGGACAGAGTGCTTAATGCATTGTTTGTTATTATTACTTGGAACGTTTTATGAACCATCAGCGTTAAACCAGACTGTGCTGAAGTTCGAAGAACTATAAGGTTTGAGCTCACTGTGCGATAGTTTTTCTTCAGGTTCCTTCTCTTTGTTTTTTTTTTTTGCAGTAGCTTATTGTAGCGAATGTTACTAAACATGAACCTAATGGTTTTTCTTTTTTGCCGACAAACAAGCAACGTTCACATTACGATTTCGTTTGTGGAGATATACTCGCATCCCCTGACACGTTGCTTTCACTGCATTGCTATATTGCCCTACAAGCCCTCTTACCCGCGGGACACGCGCCGCGCGAAGCTTGTGCCAGTGCTCCCGTGGTGGAGTCTCCCGAGGACGAGGATACGCGGGACCATGAGAAACGGCGGCCTTTTTTCCTTGGCCCTTGGTACAATTAACTAATATTCTTGGAGCTGGTCGCAGGCTGTTTATGTGCGAGCAACAGGGATCTCCGCGGAGGCGATGGCGCGGATCGTTCTCACAAACACTTTCCCGATTTCGGGAATGCACCACGGTTCGCGAGACTCGACCCGCAACAGACATAGGCCTGCGTTTCCTGGCAGGGACGAACTTCACTCGCTTGTCATTCGTATTGGTGAATCTAAGATCGTTGATTCACCATCTTGTTGCGCATATCATCATCAGCAGCAGCAGCAGCAGCCTGACTACGACCACCGCAGGACAAAGGCCTCTCCTATGTTCCGCCAGTTAACTCGCACGATATAAGTTGCACAATTCGGCCAGCCGGCTTGCTCTGTACGGAAGGTGCTATCAGCGTCAAATTAAAGCCGAACAGCGGCCAGCTTTCGTGACGCTATAGTGCGCGGCGTCCACTTATCACTACGAACAGGCACGCATGTATGCGCAAAGCTGCCGAACACGATGCACGCGCCTGTGAATGGTAATACCTGGACGGCACACATATCGCGAAGGCTTAACGCGGTGTGGGTTTCATTTGACGCTGATAGTACAAATCAATGCAGATTCTTGATGGTTGGCAGTTCACTGTATTTTGCAATTTGTTTTTTTTTTTAGCGCTAGAATCCGTACATACGACGAAAGTGTCATTTCTGCGGGAATAGTCAAGACTTAAGCCAAAAAAAAAGCTTAGTGCTCGCGCGCTGACGTCTTCGAGGCTGTCTTTAAGTGTTGAACAAAAAATAAATACTAGTGCTTCGACTAGCGATTAACACAGGCCGCTTTTGTAGAAGGTGTCCGAGCCCGAGGCCGCGCCTAAGGGACCTAATGGTGGAGGTGGTGGAGGTCCTGCTGGGCGCACCGACAGCCCACCAGAGCCCGTCAGCCTGCCCATCAGGGACGACTATGAACGCCGGCTGAGGCTAGCCATGGAGAGACGCCGAGAGTACAACGACTTCCTGAGCAGGGTGAGTAGACACTGCAGGGTTGTCCGGTCACGTAACTGTATACATTGTCATGAGGATGAGGCATAAGCGCCAAGTAATACCCAGCATTGATATTACCTATCCTGAGGGCACCTGCTAACGTGTCTCAGGAGAGGGGCCATTATTTTCATTTCTGCACACGTCACTACCAGCGCACAAAACGCACAAGAAAGTGGACGACAAAAGCGCTTTCTAACAACTTTTTTGTGCGCTGACCGTGATGAGTATGTTCCAACTAGCCCAATTTGCTAGATAACATTCCTGCATGATTGCGAAAACTTACGATTTGACATGTCAAATCTCTTGTTATTCTTTCCGGCCATCATTAGCGAAATTGTTTTATCAGCTATTCATCCTTAAAACAATATCGAGGGGTGAACCTTTGGCAGATCACTGCTGCAGGGGTTCTTTCTTGCACGTATCTCGAGCAGCATTGCTACATAGCTAGCTCCCGAAATCTGTGGAGCTCACTGCACCACTGAGGAAGCAAAAAAAATGTGTAAGCACGCCTTCACTGGTTTCGCATGTTAAAACACAAGCTTATCTGAAGTGACATATGTGCAAGTTCTGCGCAAGTTTACGTGTTCATAACTTACAATATGCCATTGCACATGTATGTGCTTGTTTGGGGTCCGTAGACTTACAGTTGAGCAACTGTCTTTTCCATGTGCGATTGTTGCTTTGTGCTTGTTCAGACAAGATAATTCCCATAATACATTTCGTTGCTGAAAATACACCGCAGCTTCATTTCTTCTGAACAAGTTTTGTTCCAATCTGTTTTGCCATATTATGTCCATTTCGTCCACTTGACCCATACGCACATACGCATCTGTGCAGAATGATGTTCCGTATGTGTTTCTTGCTTCATTTAAGAAAGAGGCCGAGGAGGAAGCGAAACGGCTCAGGAGGCGGAAACACTGCAGGCGAGCCACGTCACATCTGGAACACCTCAGACCGCCAGCCGTACAAAACAAGTCCCAGCCAATGCCGCCTAAGGAGCAGAGCGACAACCGCAAGTCGAGGGCGGACCACGCGGTCAGTGCCGACGCTAACCACACGGGGTCAATTCTACCGGCCATCAACGGTCAGTCGTCTGCGTCTGGCGCCAAAAACGACAAGGATGGACGACGCTCACGGTTGGTGAAGAATACGCAAATGGTCTTTAGATAAAAGCACCGGTATATAGCATGATACTATATGGTAGCGCAGACAAATGACACGCACAAGAGAAGGCACATTCAAGACAACACAACGCTATGTTGTCTTGAATGTGCCTTCTCTTGTCCATGTCCTTTGTCTGCGCTACCTTACATTATCATGCTACCATACCAACAAGCCAAAATCGCCACTTTCATGGTATATAGCTTCAGCAATACCTACAGCCGAACCTCGTTTTAGCAAAGCAGCATCTAGATTATAATTTAGGTGCAAAAGGGTATCTTGAAGGGTTAGTTGGTGAATGATATTGTGTAGAACCAGCGCAAAAATGGGACTAAGTACATATATACCTTTGTGTATTGCGGAGGTTGTTTCTTTGCTGTGACCACACTTACGATTTTCGATATCTCAGAATGGTCATTCGGGGCTGGCCGAGGTTGTTTGAGGTACTCCCTTGAGACGATGGGAACTGGAGTATGCAGACTTTCGGGTACGCCTGAAGAGACAAATGAGGCCGCGATTGAAAAGACCACAGAAATTATCCACACGCAGAGCAAGAAATATTGAGGAGGCACGTTGTAAAGGGTCATTAGGTTAATGAAACTGAAAAGCAGCGTACTCTGGTGTAACAGTCGTTAATCGTGGCTGACTCGTCAAACATTCAGTTAACATTTACTTACGTCTGTGCAATCAGAGTTATCACTGATCAGCAAGAGCTAAGAAGCATCGCGCGCCATCCCGTGGTTCAGGCGTTCGAGCGTGACGGACTTTAACAGTGGACTATGTATGTTTTATACCTATAGACAGCCAATGAATGAATGAACGTTACTTCCGTATTCGGCATGTTTGTGGTCCGGGCTAGACAGCACAGGGAGGTGGTACCAGGAGACCTTGTCTCCGTGCAGCCTGCTTGGCCCGCTGTATAGCCCATTTAGACAGCCAGGGATTTTTTGTTTTTTAATAAGTTAGCTATCCAAGCTTACTTAGAAAATCTGGTTGCAGAAAACACCACATCGTTTACTCGGAAGCTAACGATGAACCCCGTGCCTCCATTTTCTTTCTTTTTTTATCACGGCAGGCAATAACATACGGATTACCTTCAGATAGCTAACATATTTCTACAAAACATTACGTAACCGAGACCATTCAAGGTACCCTTAAGTAAGAATGATAGCGTATACAGCTTACTGACAGTCGCTCTTGCCTCGCGGCTTCACGCAGGCTGTGCAATGGAACGAAAAACGGAGAGCTCGCTGTGGTGGCCACGCTGAAGGAAGAAACTGCCAAGCTCAAGGAGGAAAGGGAAGAGTTCGCCAAACTAGTAAGTCCGGGCTCCATTATAGTTACGCACGCCTGTAACGTCTGTAATAATTGATGCCTGCACTTCAAACGCGAAAAACAACCCACGTTCACCCGTTCGAGTTATCGCGTTCGATCCCTCTTCTTGTTTTGCAGGTGAGTAGCTTGAAGGTGAGTCACCCGGCACCCCGCACTCGGAGTCCCTTGCGCACGGTTCACCGCACGGGGAGATGTGTGCGGCACTGCACCTCATCACTACGTCACGCCACTACACCACCCCTGTATCACCTGACAAAGTCCTTGCACCTCGCCTCCTCAATCGTTTTGTAGCACCCACGATCGTCAAGATCAGGCGAAGCGTATTGGGAGTTAAATATTTCGGTGGTGGCGTTGTCGTACGCAAAAAAGCCGGTGCCTCGAGCGTACACCAGTCGTATACGTATTTGAAGTTTATTAGCATGAAAAGGGGACAAATAGATTGCAAGCACAGTATCCCTCAGCCAAAGAATGCTGTTGGCCAGTGCGGGCTGTTGTCCTTTAATTGACGCTCTCTCGATCGTGGTCTTGTCGGTGATCAGCCGTTTCTGTATGACTCACGTTCCAGCGCGAGTGCAGGGCAGTGAGTCATAAGGCACGATGTCAAGTGCGTAGGCGCGCCCTCATACCGGTTTCAGCACCGTAACGTGAGTCATTAGGAATAATGCCAGCTGCGTAGGCGCGCCCTCATGTCCCGTCCACAACTTATCAGATCTGTTTCGCTTCCTCCAAAGAAAGAAAGAAAGAAAGAAAGAAAGAAAGAAAAACAAAGAAAGAAACGAAGAAAGAAACAAAGAAAGAAACAAAGACCTACACTAAGCTTCTCTTCCCTCATTTTCCCGATATATGGCAAGGGCTGCCGACTTTCTTTTCAAGCAGCACGCTTACCAAGTCTTTTACCAAGATACTTTTACCTACGGCATTAGGCAACCGAGCTGACGAAGACGCTCACAGAGACCTGTTGCTCGCACTTCACTATCTTGATTACAAGTAATGCAGTATCCAAGAAAGATTAATTAGATGAAGTTTTACAGTATTAGCCAATGTTGCCGTCTGGGCTTACAAGTTCGCATACGAATGAATTTTGGTTGATGTAAGTGCTGTAACACAATTCTTGTATGCCATTATGTCAGTTTGCGTAAATTCTGTATCGCTATTGTTACTACAGCCGTAACGAGTTTGAAGCGCTCCACTTTCAGTGAGCCTTTTAAAAAACGCTCTCCTAGCTTACCATACTCATAAACTGTTTTAGCTGCATTCGCTCTGTTGAAAATGCGTTTAAAAGTGTCCAGGTTAAAATCGCTTGGTAAAGTTGTACGCAACGTTTGCAAACATGCAAAGGAAGTCGTATGCTTGTTTCCTGCCTCAGGAAGTGATGTCCGAAGTTCAGAAGCCCTCCACCAGAGCGGTGTTGACTGCCTGCCTGTCAAGGTACGATATTTATTTGTGTATCTTCATTCGTAAGTTTTGCAATGTGTATGGAGGCTATGATGCCAACGAGTGCAAGTGGCGGTAGAGGTAACAACTTTATTAATAACTCCGGGAAATTTGCGGCCTGGGCCTAAGCCACCCCGAGGAGGACAGGAGACCCTATCTCCTCACCGCCTCACGGGCTTGCTGAATGACCCACAGTTGATGAACAAGAAAGATACGAAACCAACACACACAAAAGTACGATTTTGAATCGTTCTTGTGTGAGGAATAAGATTGGCACGTGCAGAAGGAGCATCGCCTTCGACTTGCTCGTTTGGACAGTTCACTCCCTGGCTACGTTTGCTGCAATCGTCACCACCGTAACAATCGGTGGAGGTGCTGGGTAGCGAAAATCTGGAACTTCGCAAGTGGAAACTCAAGCCAGCCGATGGCGATAGGCCTCTGCAAATGTCTATCTTCTTCGTCACACTTGTGATTTCCGTATCAGTCGAGAGTGTTGTTAACATACAACAGCAAACCACACTATAAACCAACCGACCACACTATTAGCTTTTTCTCTCATAGCCTGTCCTCAATGTGTATGGGCGTATTCGGTAATTAACTGATAACATAGGCATGCTCAACATGTTTCAAGCATTCGAAATCTGTCAGAATGAATGGCCGATCTTGCATTGTGTATGGAAATCTTTATCGCGTACAAACTGCGAGGATTTTTTTTTTTGTAGTAAACCTGCCGTCCTAAAGATCCTCAGGAAAAACGAGATGCAATCTCTTGTTTCACGGGGATTCGGAGAACGTCATAATTTCAATTGATCCAGCATAGATCAACGTTACACATAAAGCACTGCAGCCATAGGGGACTAAAATGGCGATTATTTTGACCGAATCGAATACTGAAAACCATGTCCGAAATCAAGTCTGATCACATTCGCTAGCTGTGACAAAAAAACTAAATCGTCCTGAAATACACCGCCAACGCTTGACGTGAAAAAGCGTCGGAACCCTTCTGATCGCTTTAATGCTATATATGCGTAGCATTTACAGATTAATCATAACCTCACATATTTCCAACATCTGTGCAGTAAAATAAGACAGAATGTATGCTGCAACCAGCTGACAAGTTGCCAAAAGTGCGGTCATGCTAATACTTCCTTTTTCTTGTTTATTCGTTTACTTAGGAGCAGAGGACAATCGCCAGGCCATGAAGACGCTGACGCTGATGATCATGGTATGAAATTTTTTATTAAGCACAGCAGTACAATGCATTGTCGTTAATTAACTTTACAATTTTCGGCATCACAAGGGGAAACAGACGACCGCCAATTTTCAGCACGAAGCCACAAGGAAGTCCATACGGATTTCTAAGAAGATAACCTTTCTATAATATAGTAGGTTTCAGTAGGTTCAGGAGTCGAACCTGAGACCAGGTCGAATTTCTCGGCAACTAAGAAGCTTTCTTTCTTCCTTCAGGCTTCATGCGACAAACTGCTGGTAGTCCAACTTTCTTTTTTATCCCTTCCGCCACCTAGCATGATTCCGCAGAACTGATCTGCAAAGTTCGGAATCACTTGAGCACAAGCCAACATTTAGGCGGTCATGAAAATAACGAGAAACATGGCTGAAGGTGTTATGCGTGGCCCGTTACAAACTAAGAATAAATGTAACCTCCACCAACAGCCTACACAATCCCACACAGCGGTAATTAGCATGAGTGTCCTATCCAATCGTATTCTCTCAGTTCTGTGACGTCAAGCCTTCATTGCGTATTTGGGTTGGTGACTTTCCCGTACAAATAAATGTCCTTGTCGGTGATTTTTCGTTCGTGAACTTGAACCTGCTGCCAAAATGAAGCGAGAATTATGACATCACTGCTTGGACAAACTTAATAATGTAATCGTGGACGACGAACTCTTGATTAAATGGACACTAATGTGAAATAACAATTTACGTCAGAGTGAAAGCTCTATGTATGACAACACCTAAAACGACACTATTATCAACAGCGGCGTCCTGTTTACCGAGAAATTTAGGTAAACGCACAAAAATGTATGCGTCGCAGTAGGACATTCTCAGAATGATACCGATGACGTCAGACAAACTACATACAATTAACCACTAGTAATCGATCTAGCTGCACTAAATAAAGAACCTTCCGTGCATATAGAGACGCAATTAAATGCTGCTTCTTCGTTTATGTTTGATTCATAGAAAATTGAACAACCGCACGTACCTATAGAGAATGGCGCGAGTGGTTCAAAAATTCAATATTCGCGTGATTAAACTGGACAGGTCGTGCCATCTAGCGGGGCGCAGTTGAACGAAAACACGTATGCCATCTCGGAGCCATTGGCGGGAAATTGATCAATGGCCGTTGTTGCCAGTGTGGCTCCCACTGCTTTCGTTTTGTTCGTACTGTCGGCGACCGCGCAGTAAAGCCGGGAAACGTTGTGCACGGCAACAATGACATGAGTCGAATAGCTCCTTGAGGCGGGTAATTTGAAGTTCGCTAACCCGATGCGGGCCACTAAAACGTGGCTTTATTTCAAAATAAGCCCTTCTTTGGCACAAAAGTGAACAAATGAGGTTTCTGGACAACAATTTCAACAATCAACGTCGACTTAATTGTTGACTTTAATGTCCCTTTAATAATAAATGTACATATCATATACATAGGCAGTGAAAAAAATGTACACTATTAGAACGGAAATTGCATACCACGGCTCTCGCGTCAGATCTGAGGGCGGTGCTTGCGTTAGACCCGTTGAACCCGATTACTCTAGCGAGAAAACATCACTAGATGTGGTGACCTATTTCCGGCATACTTTTCTACATAGGAATGCCTGCAACATTACAAAATCTTCCGCAAATTCTTACAATAGTGCATCAGGATACAAAATGTATTTCATTCGTGAACAGTTACTGTCGAAAACTAAGAAACGTACAGACACCGGCTACATTCCAGTTTATGGACTTCTCCTATTTGCTCAATAATGTGCGTATTGATGGTGTCGCTCATAACCTTGCTTTTTTTTCTTTAAACGACTACAGTGCCTGCCCAGTGGGAGAGAAGTCAGAGTTTGGACAGGGGGTAAGACCGATTCATTGATTGTTAATACTTTGGAATAGTGTGAATAAGAAAATTACTCCAGCCGGGGTGAAACGCAGGTTCAGCACACTTGTTACAACAACCACAGACTTATCCGAAGTTCTGCTAAACGATCAGTTTCGATTCGTAGCTGTTCGAAGTTTATGCGCACCTAATTAAATAAAAATTTTACCATTTTTTCCTACGATCACTCTGATTATCACTGGATTATTGAAAACAGTACCACTGCAATACCTCAAAACAAATAGCCACCCATAGTTTCGATATAACCGGAACATAAGGAGACAAATTGTACACAGCAAACGACATGGACTAGCGTTTGACCTTGCCTTTATACTTATTCAAAATGAAATATAGAAACAAGGTCAATCTCTATATTTGTACACTTTGTCAGTTCGTGCAATCGTCGTACTTAAATGTAATTCCAACTCATCTGGCCCCAATGAACTTTAACACAGCCGCGTACCCATTTTTTTCTTATTTTTTCATAAAACGACAATTTCTAATTATGTTCACTCTTTTCAGTTTAAAAGGTGCGACGTTACCGAAAGACTCCGCCCTGACATTAAGGTAAGACAATTACTGCCGTCTCTCAAGTGATTTCTTCTTCCTTCCAAGCATCATTGCCATAGGCGAGCGGAGGGTTCCCATTCAGGCGGGGGGATGGGGGGTGACAAAAGTTTGTCGCATCCCCCCTCCTCCCTATATGTCAGCGTATGGGGGGCTGACCTTGCGCTAACCCCTCCCCTCCCCTACTCTCAAGTGACCAGGAGTGCCACCTCTTCCCCCCTGCTCCCCATTCCCTCGTGCAAACTCCTATGATTATTGCGATGTATATCATCACCAACAGCAACGAGCGCGGCTCACCAGCAACCTTGGGTCTTCCCGGCTCCATGGCGATGTGTCATAATGAACATTTTACTAATTTTCAAGTGCCCGAGTATCATGCGTAGTATTAGTTATAATCCCCAACGTTGTTTAGATTAAAAGATGGTTTATTATTCATAAACACTCGCATTAGTTTCCTCCTAATCTTATGTATCGTCACTCAGATTTTCACATATATATATATATATATATATATATATATATATATATATATATATATATATATATATATATATATATATATATATATATATATATATATATATATATATATATATATATAGCTTACTAAACATATGAATAACAGCTATTCAAAAATTAGGGGGTACTAAGTAATACCTGAATGCATTTAATTGTGCGTGTTCTTAATGGGCGCGCAAACTAAGGCAAGCACGATGCGAGGGCAGCCCCGCCACGGTGGTCTAGTGGCTAGGGTACTCGGCTGCTGTCCCGCAGGTCGCGGGATCAAATCCCGGCTGTGGCGGCTGCATTTCCGATGGAGGCGGAAATGTTGTAGGCCCGTGTACTCAGATTTGGGTGCACGTTAAAGAACCCCAGGTGGTCAAAATTTCCGGAGCCCTCCACTACGGCGTCTCTCATAATCAAATAGTGATTTTGGGACGTTAAACCCCACAAAATCAATCAATCAACGATGTGAGGGCAGAGCGGGGATGAGGGCAATCATTATGCGGATAGGTCCCGGCTATCTTCAGTCATAAGTGGCCCATGGCAGCGGATCCCATCCCGTGTTTGTGTATGAAGAGCGGATCACGGCCGGATGTCACATGCCGTGATGGCAAGCTGTCATGGTCGCTTGGCCGAACGCGGCCAAATTCACATACAGCATAGCTGTCACATATTGAGCACACGCTCGCGCAAAATTAAGTTTTCTTCCTCTTGGTCTTCGAGCGCCTTGATGAGGATATCAAGTGTGGACATCACTGCTACAGGTAGAGAAACACAATGCAATACACCTAAAAAATTTAACGTGAAAGCAAGTGACAAATAAAGAGAGAGAGACTATAGGAAGAAAACTTGAAATTAATAGAAATTAAGCTATATAACTCAGAAAACACTTTAAAAGAAAGAAGGAAAAAAGAAATAAAGGAAGATAGATAGATAGATAGATAGATAGATAGATAGATAGATAGATAGATAGATAGATAGATAGATAGATAGATAGATAGATAGATAGATAGATAGATAGATAGATAGATAGATAGATAGATAGATAGATAGATAGATAGATAGATAGATAGATAGATAGATAGATAGATAGATAGATAGATAGATAGAAAGCTGCTTCCTCAGCTCTGCGCTTCGTTCCCATTTTGCACACCTACAGCACGAAGCTGCCTTGATTTTTATTATGTTGCCTTCTTAGCAGTTTATGACAGCTGCCAACAGTAATGGCAATATCGCTAGCGCTTTCGACAGAATTGCGTTGTTTTCACTGCTACGTTTCACGCTTTGCAGGAAAGGTGGATCGCAGCCAACGCAGCTGGGGACGGGGGCCGCCTCTCTAACAGGTTTGGAACCATTTGGTCACTCACACGCTCTGCTATCATTCAGTTTCTGTGCTCGTAAATTAAATGCTTGTCATAATTAAAGGGTAAAAAATAGTGAAGCTTGCAGGATGTAGCTTTAAATCATTGGCGAAATTTTAAGAATCACAGTGACGAGCTATCAATAAATGCGAAAGAAATGCTAGCTAGCACTAATTCAAGAATCCTTCGGTTTTGTACAGTTCTTTCTGAACTTCTGTCACTCACCTTTCGTATCCGCTGCTCTTCTTCATGCCCTTCCGCCAAGTAACTACCGCTTAATCCAAACTATTCTCATAATACATGCGTAGCGATGTTTCCGGGTGCCAATTTCGGGCCTTAATGTAGTTCATATTTTCCAGTTCAGGTCTCAAGGTTACTTCCACTTTTTCCTTTTTACATGAAGAGCCCTTGGTCGACCACTTAAGAGTATAGTTGAAGCAGTTCCCGTGTACAGTTTACTTGCACCTGCAAGCGAAGCCATCATTTGGGTTAACTCCTTCCTGTTCTCTATTCATGCAGCGGGATCCGAGGCACGCGCTGGCGGAAGGTAAGTCAATTAACTGATTAGTTATTCGTCGTTAATTCCCTTAAAAAGCAAGGAAAATACAATACCACACCTAACCGAGGAGTGATACCCCTAAAATGCATCAGTATACAGTCGATGCGCGCACAACTGTATAATTGAGGTTGTACTGCACACATTAAGCAGCACGAAGAGGCAGCAGCGTCACAGTCCCTGTAGCTGTGCACATATCAGCACAAAGTACAGGAAGAGAAAAGACCGATGTAGTACATGCCAAAGCAAACACTCCGGAAAACAGTGCAGCACTAGCAAGTGCTTACGGGGCACAGGTAACATTAACTTTCTAAAAAGAAATGCTTTAGCTCTGCAAGAACTAATGAAGCACTGGTGGTTGTTAAGATTATTTTATATAAGAAAAAAAATGTCTGCTAAAGCCTAACTAACCTCTAAACACATGCTGATGCGTCCTAAGTGGCAGGTTTATACCGACAGCCTAGCTGAGATAAGATGGGATTGCCTTGAAATCAGATTCCCTTGTAACGGAGGCCGCAGCAGTGCGGGCAAACTCACTCGTAACGTATTGATGTCACATAAATTGGCCGCGAAAAGGTCCACGAAAAATTAAGTGCATATATATACTGTCCGCTGCCCATACTTTCAATGTGCACTTTACAGAACCATTTGTATCTTTTTTATTTTTTTCTCGCACCGTACGTGTGGCCCCGTCAGCGAGCGAGCTATCACGAAGCAGGAGGCCTACCTCAAAGATCTCGAGGCTCAGATCAAGGAGAAGCAAGAGCGGATGCTGCAGGAGAAGCTGGAAGAAGCCAGGTGGGTGTAGGGAGGGACGGTCACGCACTTGCGTCAGCGCCCCGGAAAGCACGCACACGCATACCACGAAACTGTTACAAGCAATCTCAGTTGCAGTTTGGAAATGCCAAAAATACGTACGATGCATGAACAACGCTTTACCTTTAAGAGTACATAACGCGATGGTGTTTACGAACCTCGTTGACGTCGCTCTCTCATTCACTTGCCATGATTCGCTGTTCGTTGGACACCTCAATCGCACCGCGAGAAAAAGAACGTCTGAGAGCGTGACATTTGCCGTTGTAAATTCTCCTACAGGACGCCTACCACCATAACATTCGAGGAGTACCCTCCCTCTGAGCCATAACTCACCATTTCGCGAACTACCAAAATGCGCGCTACGCGACTGTAAGGCATCGCACGCATCTTAACAGCTGTCAACTTCGTCGATGTTGTGAATGAAGATGATGACAACGTGACTCCTTGCCTCCTGACATGACGCCCGAACACCTCAAAGTGCGCAGTCTCTGCCGAATCCACGCCCTCCTCACCCCCTTCTTCCGGGACCGCCCATGGGACTATCGTGCGACCGAAGGCGAGAGGCCAGTTTACTTTCCGTTCGAGGAGGAAGAGAAAAACTTTATTTAGCACAAGAGGGAAAGGTGCGGTGGTGGAGTGTCAGAGGAGCCTACCCAGCGTAGGTCTCCGCTACACTCTTGGCCCAATCCAAGATATGGTCCTGGACATCCGCCTGCTTCCCGCGATCATCGCCTGTTTTCGTACGCTTTCATCGAACACGTGCATATTACGCGCGGTGCGATGTTATCGCCATTGGATTTTATATGGAGCCTCACGGCGACGGCTAACATGCGTAAGGAGTGTCCATACCGTTGCTGTATTCGCAATAACATGGAGACGGTACGCTGGGACAAATGCTTTTGAAACCACCTATTTTAGAATCCCGCTTTGCACGAAATCCGTGCCCCTCACCTCTATCTGCCTAGTACTAGAACACTTTAAAAAAAAGTTTTTTTTTTCTCTTTCAGGCTTGATAGGAAGTGCATTGAGGAGTACCAGGACCCTTGGGGCAGGGACTTGGCGACGACGTTTGCAGGTTAGAGGTTCTTCTCTTTTTTCTATTGTCGTGCATCCGCAACCCATATCGTCCTCAATATAAAATTCTAGCCTACACTTTAACGCAGTTATGAATGCTATGGAGAGATTCAGAGCCTGAAAGGAAGATCCTAGGACGTGTACTTACAGTGAAACAATCGGGCGCTCAGTAAGCTGCTCAACAGGGCGACGTTAATATTGGTGATCGAGCTGAATAAAGCGTCGTTCGTTAGAGGCAAAACACGTCACACACGTCTGCTGGAAATAATTTTTGGAAATAATTTTTTGCAGAATAAATCTTTCCTGGCTCCCAGCAACAGCTCTCTGTTGAATAGCTGGCACAAATTGCTTGCAATTGTTCTTGTTCAGCACTGTGAGATTGAGAAGTCGATACCTTAATTTGATGTTTTTCTTGCAAAGGTCTTTTTGATTACATAACCTTGATGTTGTGGGAATTGAGGCTGGCCCGCTGCCTTTGCGCGGGCTTTCCCGCCTTTTCTGCCGTTCTCATGTCCCGACATGTCTGCCCTCCGTTGCTGTCTGCCGCGCTGAGAGAGCGGAGTGACGTTTAACTCCCTCACCCGGTAGCGGATGTGGACTGTGGCGCCGCGCGCGGGGACTCGCGAGAGGTTTTCGCGGGCTGCGCCGGGAGCGGTGAGATACTCTCCGGGACAGCAAACGGTGAGCCACGCTATCTTTTCGTCCGTCGACTCCCGTCAGTCGGGGCTCGTCGGACTTCGCTGACGGCGCCTGGCGCCCAAGGCGAACGCTCACCCGCTGTTGCCCCGCTGCGTACGCACGGCCGAAGGGCGGTACGGTGTCCTAGTGCGTAGCCTCGCTACGCCGACCCGTCTCCCTTCGAAGCCAACGCGAGCGCCTTTGCCCTCGCTCGAGCAACCGGGCCTTTGCTCCGGTGTCTCCGTGGATCAGCTTTACCGCGGAGACGTGCTCGTGGCACCCCTGTGTAGTACTTTGTGCCCGTGGCGTGGATAAGCCTACTTGCTTTCCCGCCGCGCCTATTTGCAACGGGCTGTACTGCGTTTGGTGTTGCCACAATAAAGTGTTGCGACTTGAGTAGTATCGTGTTTCCCGCCACGGCGACGGTTAACGCGTGCCCTGCGGCTCGCTAAGACCGGACCCACGCTGGTGGCCGTACTCCTTCGGGATACGTGTACACCACACTGGCGCCCAACGCGGTATCAAAAGCTCTAGCTTTTGATTGCTCTTAGCGAGTCAGTTCGCCTGCGCGATTCGGGCTCGTCGCAACATGGCTGCTTCGCGGGACTTTTGTCCGCTGTCCCTTTTAGCGGATGCCGCGTTGCACACGGAGGCCATTGCCTCTATGAACGGGAACCCTTCTGCACCCGTCCGTGTCGGCACCCCCTATTGCGGTGACGACACGAGGCGCCTAGCCGCTCCCTTTGGAGATGGCGCGTCGCTTCGGAATGGGCCTCTTGCCCTACCCGAACGTTACGCACAAGCGCCTCCGACTGCTAATGCGCCCTTTGGCATGCATGGCAGTTCGTCGGCACAGCGCTCGCAGTCGGTTCCCTGCGGAATTGACGGGGCCCTCGCCGACTTTTGCCCGCTATCAGCCGTGCAACCGACACTTCGACCGCACGCTGAGCAGGCGCCTGAATTGTCGATGGTAGCCGCACCAAGTGCGCCTTTGGTTCGACAACAGGCAAATCCCACAAGGAGCCTATTTTGCTCTGGGAATGGCGCGCAGGGCGGTGGTCTGTTTGAAACCGCCCCACTGATCGAGCTGGGCGACTGCTCGCCTTCGCTCGACCGCGCCGCTAACGCACCAACGGTTTCCTACGAAGCCGGTGCGACGACGCAGACTTTGCTGCAAAACGCCGTGCAGATGATCCAAGCACTCTCGGGAGCTGTGCAAACGCTTTCGGCTGTTCCGAAAAGCGGTCACCCCGCTGTTATGTTGCCTGTGCCAACCTACAGCGGATACGGTGATCGGCTCACCGCCCGAGATTACCTCGACTCTCTGTCACGTTATCAGAGAGCGATGGGTTTGGATGATAAGGTGGTGCTCGAACGTGTTGTTCCAGCTGCACTGACTGACACGGCGGCGAGATGGTATCGGCTTTCCGGTTACCGTGCAGCAAACCTCGAGGAATTTCGTGCGGTCTTTTTGCGCGAATTCCTACCCGCTGACTACGAAAGTAGGATGCGGCGAGAGCTCGAGCTCCGTACACAAGCTCCTGACGAGTCTTTACAGGAGTATGTACGGGCGATGGATGAACTTATTTCTATCGCTGAGCCCCGAGCCTCGAACGAGGAACGCGTCGAACGGGTGATACGGCAGGCACATCCGACTTTTTCGGCTTACCTGCGCGGCGGCCGCTTCAGTGATTTGGAAGCGTTGGCCGCCGAGGCGAAGCGCATCCAAGGCGACATTCTCGCCGCGCGTGCCTATCGCCCGCCGCCGCCAGCCAGCGACGCCCTTGAGCCGCGCTGCGCTTGGAGAGGGGCCATGACCCTTCCCCAACGGCAACAGCCTCTCCGCGCCGCCTTTGCGGCTGCAACCGGCTGTGCGTGGGAGTTGAGCGATCGCGCTCTTGACCCCTTTACGCATGAAAGGCGGGCAGCCTGCGCTGCTCCGCCTGAAACCTCCATACAGGGACGTTTTTCGACCCAACGTAATGTGGGAGGTGCGGCTCGCAGAAACGTATCCTACGATAACGTAGCGAGCCGATCACGACAGCTCGAAGCTGCTCCGTCTGGGAATACAGACCGTGATGGAGTGCGCTGTTACCGCTGCCGTGAAAGAGGGCACATAGCAAGGGAATGCACCGGATCCAGGCCTCCTGCGAGGCAGGGAAACGGGCTTCCGGGTCGTTCGTGAATGCACGACCGACCCAACCTTTGCTCCTTCCCTCTGCGTGCAGGGCAAGCACTTTTCTTGCTGATACGCACGCGCCGTTCATTCCGGTCACCATTGCCGGCCGTGAATTTTCGGCTTTGCTGGACACGGGCGCTAGCGCCTCGTTGTTCGGCGAACAGGTGTTGTCCCACTTGCAGAAGCACTCGGTGCGCTTGCGGGACAGCCGAACGACATTCACCCTTGCGAAAGGCGTGGCCCATTCGGCAGGCGCTGCAAGGTTGACTGTCCGATGGGGAGATCGAATGAGACGCTGCCGTCTTATTCATCTTCCAGGGCTCAATGTTCCAGTGATTCTCGGTCGGGACTTTCTCCTTAAAACCGGTATCGTTGTGGACATTGCGAATGGCGGCTATCGTGATGGCCCATTTTGCCAACTCAAGCCGTTCATCAGCCCGCCGGCGCTTACCGTCGCCTTTGCGGCAGAAGCGTCGGAAACGTGCCTTGCGCAGAGTTCGGGGCCAAGCCCCCGCTCACCGCATTTGCCCTCTCACAGTCCCCTTCGGGAACGAGAGGCGCGGCACGAACCGTGTCGTGCGCCAACTCCGGGGTCGTACCCTGGCGTTCCGCGCTCGTCGGCTCGAAACCCCTGCTTGGATCGACCGGCACGACACGAAGAGGCACTACATCCTTTGGTCGCCTGCGCGACTCAGTTGGATGAAGCACAGAAGGCTCGCCTGTCGACACTGTTACGTCAGTACGACGAGCTCTTCACCGATCAACCTGGCTGCACCGATTTTGTGAGCCACGTGATCGAAACTGGTGACGCGCTTCCTTTGAAGTGTAACCCCAGGCCCGTCAGTCTCGCCAAAAGGCAGATTATCGATGGGTTGCTAGATGATATGCTTGCGGCTGGCATTATTCGCCGCTCGTCTAGCTCCTGGGCGTCTCCAATTGTGCTAGTGCCTAAGAAAGATGGCAGTCATCGCCTGTGCGTCGACTATCGCCGTCTGAATGGAGTGACTCGAAAGGATGCCTATCCGCTCCCCACGATAAACTCCATCGTAGGTAACCTGGGTGATGCACGGTACTTTACCACGCTTGACGCCTCTAAAGGTTATCTACAGGTCCGGATGGGTACCCGTGACCAGTGTAAAACTGCGTTCACGTCCCACAGAGGGTTGTTCGAGTTTACTCGTATGCCCTTTGGTCTTTGCAATGCTCCTGCGACGTTTCAAAGACTCATGGACCGCGTCCTCGGGGAAGCAAAGTGGTCATACTGCATGTGCTACCTCGACGACATCGTGATTTATTCACGAACCTTCGAAGAGCACTTGGCCCATGTTGCCGATGTACTCGAGAGGGTGAGGACCGCCGGGATGACACTTAACCCCGCTAAGGTCCAATTAGCGCAGACCCGTGTTCAGTTGCTCGGGTTTACGCTGGGCGAAGGCTCCATAGAGCCGGATCGGGAGAAACTTCGAGCTATTCTCGAATTTCCTGTGCCCAAGGACGTACGTGGCCTTCGCCGCTTTCTAGGAATGGTCAACTTTTACCGTTCCTTCATTCCGTCCTGTGCCCGACTGCAGGCGCCCTTGAGCAAACTCTTGGGTAAGTCTGCCGAGTGGCAATGGGGACTTGAGCAGCAGGAGGCGTTTTGCCGACTGTCTAACGCCATAGCGGAGACAGCGCAGCTCAAGCTCCCCGACCTGACCAGACCGTTCGTTGTACAGACTGATGCGAGCGATCTGGGTTTAGGAGCTGTTCTCCTACAGGAATACGATGGCGTGTTGCAGCCGTTGGCCTTTGCCAGCCGCTCCTTGGTCTCTGCGGAGAAAAATTATTCCGTGACCGAAAAGGAGTGCCTCGCCATCGTGTTTGCACTGCGGAAGTTTGACGTCTATCTTGATGGGACGAAATTCGTAGTGCAAACGGATCACAGTGCGCTCAGCTGGCTGATGCGGCTCCGTGAGCCTGCCGGCAGGCTGGCGCGCTGGGCTCTCCTGATACAGCACTATGACTTTTCGGTGCAGTATCGAAAGGGGAGCACCAACGTGGTAGCTGACGCGCTATCTCGTGCCCCACTGTCGGCCGAGGACCTTGATCCCGGTGCGACCGCCGCTAGCGGTGCCTTAGCACTTGCAAGCGTCGGGGGCGAAACAGCAGCTTCGCCGCCGTTCGGCGTGAAGGGTGAGTCCCCATGCGGACAAACCTTGGCTGCTAACCAGGTAAGCGGCGCACCGCGAAGCGGCCGAGCGGGGGAGCTCTCCGAAGGCCACGAGGCCGAGAGCGAACCCGTAACGCCGACTCAAGCGGTTGTTGCTGCGGTCCTGAGTGGGCGCGATACCAGACTCCCCCATTTTGGGAGAATGGGCATCGCTTTCAGCAGAGAAGAGCTTCTGAAGGCCCAGCAAAGTGACCCGTTTTGTCGCGAAATATGCGACGGTCTCAGAGAGATGGAGCGCCGTGACGCTGCTTGTCCTGCAGCGGGCGCCGATAACGACTGTCTCGACGAGACGGAGCGCCGTGACGCTGCTTGCCCTGCAGCGGGCGCGAATAGGGGGCTCGAACCAGCGTGTGTCGCTGAGTCCCCTGCGGATTCATATTTGCTGGACCATGACGGGCTCCTGCTGAAGTATATAGCCACTGACGACGAGTCCATAGACCCGTTTAAGGTGGTTATGCCCAAAAGTCTGAGAGCCGCACTGTTGCGATCCTCTCACGACGAACCCATGGCTGGTCACCTGAGTGGCTCGAAGGTTTTTGCAAAACTGAGCCGCGTTGTGACCTGGCCCGGCATGAAGCGAGACATTTTTCGCTACTGCCGTTCTTGCCGCGTCTGTCAAACGGTGAAATCAAGGGGTGGCAAACCGCCCGGTCTGATGAAACCGATTGTCAGTGAGCGTCCGTGGCAAGTGGCCACCTGCGATCTAATGGGACCATTTCCCAGAAGTAAGCAGGGGTTCATTCACCTGATGGTAGTCGCTGATCACTTTTCGAAATGGGTGGAACTTTTCCCACTTCGGAAGGTGACAGCGCGAGCGGTGCTTGAGAAGCTGCAGGAAGTGTTTTGCCGGTTCGGCTTCCCGGAAAGGCTCATCACTGACAATGCTTCGTATTTCACCGCTCGGGTGTTTGGTGTCACGTGCCGTTCCCTCGGAATTGATCACTGCACCACTTCACCCTACCATCCCCAGTCCAATTTGACGGAGCGCGTCAATCGTACGCTCAAACCGATGTTGGCGGCCTTTGCCGAAAGTCAAAGGGACTGGGCAGACCATTTGAGTGAGCTCGCGTTCGCTATTCGAACATCCGAGAGTCGCTCAACTGGTTTCTCGCCCGCCTTCTTAAATTTTGGAAGGGAGTTGGCAAATCCGGTGACCAGCGTCACTCAATGCCAGCTCGAGGACGAGGAGGCGCCGGCAGACTGCTCTGCTTACGCGTCGGCACTTCGGGACAGGCTTTGTCGAGCTTTCTGCAAAGCAAGGCAAAGTTTGGCGTCGGCCAGGGCTCAGCAGAAGGCCCAATATGACCGCAAGCATCGCGACCTAGTTTTTGAGGTGGGCGATCTTGTCCTGAAGCGCAACCACGCCCTTAGCGATGCCAGTAAGGGGTTCTCAACCTCGCTCGCTCCTAAGTGGCTTGGTCCGTACCGAGTGGAGAAAGCTTGCACTCCACTCGCGTACTTGCTGAAAGATCCCCAGACGGGAAAACTCAGCCGTGCCCATATCGCAGACCTGAAACCCTTTGTATCACGGTCTGACGAGCTCGCGCAAGAGCCCTGCGGCACTTCGCGCCAGCAACGAGGCACACCCGGAGCGGCGGACCGCATTCGGACCCCGCACCGGTATAATCTGAGGAAGCGGTCACCTTTGTGATTTCGCGCCGGACGGCGGACTTCTCCGCAACCGAAGGCCCTCGGTTTACTGTCTAGCCTCAGTATAGGTTGGCTTCTTTACGGCCTTTTCTCGTAAAGAAGTTAACCCCGCCCTGTCTGCTGCCAGTTTTTTTTTTAAGTGTTCATGTGTATTTTATGTTTCTTTTGTCTAATATTAAATGTTATTTGTATTTTTTTTTTGCCAGATGTTTAGTGTCAGTATGCTCTGTGTTTACTCTTTTTTTTTTCGTGTTCGTTCGTCTACCGCGAAGGGAGCTGTGTGTGACCTTGAGTGTCGGTGCTTGCCGGGAGGGAGAGAGACGAAGGACGCTTTGCGCCTACGCTCGCGCAGCCGTCGGCGGTGTGTGTGCGTGTGTAAGTGCGTGACGCTTCAGTGCGAGCCCGCGAAGAGTGCGTCATGGCTTCCCCCCCATCGATGCGGACGCTGGAGGTGCTGGGGGGTCATTGACCCACTGACGTCAGACCATCTGGCTGTGCTCTGCTCTCGGCCGTCGTCGAAGAAGCCCCGCTGCCTTTACCACCATGGCTCCTGCGCGAGGCCAGCTGAAAGCAGCTATATGCTGCCGGCCAACGCCATTCGCAGCCAATTTGGGTCGGCCTCCCTGAGCACTGGAGAGGCCCGGCTTCGCGCAACGTTCCAGCTTCGTCATCGAGCCAGAAATGCGGGGGCCTCCGAAGCACAGCCGAGGCAGCGTTCGTCGGACTCGCTGCTTATCAAGACCAGCAACGAGCCATCAGTGAGCCCCCCCTCCCGTACCTCTGACCTCGCACTCGGGCATCGCACCCAGCGGACACTGTCACGCCTTTACCGCCCCTCCGTGCACTGGACGCTATCCCCCTTCAGCACCACGAACACTAGTGCCACGTTGCTGTGCTCCCTTCCGCAGTTATTTGTATAGTGTCGTGTGTTTATTTTGTTATTTATGTTTTGTTTCTCCTTTGCAATCATTTTTTTAGCAGCAGTAGCAGGGCTGGACTGAGGTTAGCTGTCGCTCATAGCAGTGTCATTTTAACTGCATGGGTGACGTCCGGCTGCCTTTTGCAGACCGGTAAAGGGCAAATTTAGGAGAGGGGGATGTGGGAATTGAGGCTGGCCCGCTGCCTTTGCGCGGGCTTTCCCGCCTTTTCTGCCGTTCTCATGTCCCGACATGTCTGCCCTCCGTTGCTGTCTGGTGGTGGTAGTGGTTACAATGAAGAGGAAAAAGGCACCTAATTTCTGTCTGCCTTCAGGCGACACGGCGCAGTGCCTTATAGGGGTGGGGGGAAGGAGGGATAAAAAGAATAGAAGGAAAGTAGAAGCAGAAGAAGACAGCCAACGAGAGGAAAAAAGAAGGAGATAGGAAAGTGGGGATCCGGTCGAAGCAGTCCAAGGGCGGGGTGCCACAATGCGAGAGCTACACGGCGTCAGGAGACCGCGGAGGGCGAACCAGTCGGCGGGAGCTACGCTGAAGTCGGAGATCGCGAGGGCACAACCGTCCAGCTTGAAATCCTGCGAGCGAATCCGTTGCTGTCTGCCGCGCTGAGAGAGCGGAGTGACGTTTAACTCCCTCACCCGGTAGCGGATGTGGACTGTGGCGCCGCGCGCGGGGACTCGCGAGAGGTTTTCGCGGGCTGCGCCGGGAGCGGTGAGATACTCTCCGGGACAGCAAACGGTGAGCCACGCTATCTTTTCGTCCGTCGACTCCCGTCAGTCGGGGCTCGTCGGACTTCGCTGACGGCGCCTGGCGCCCAAGGCGAACGCTCACCCGCTGTTGCCCCGCTGCGTACGCACGGCCGAAGGGCGGTACGGTGTCCTAGTGCGTAGCCTCGCTACGCCGACCCGTCTCCCTTCGAAGCCAACGCGAGCGCCTTTGCCCTCGCTCGAGCAACCGGGCCTTTGCTCCGGTGTCTCCGTGGATCAGCTTTACCGCGGAGACGTGCTCGTGGCACCCCTGTGTAGTACTTTGTGCCCGTGGCGTGGATAAGCCTACTTGCTTTCCCGCCGCGCCTATTTGCAACGGGCTGTACTGCGTTTGGTGTTGCCACAATAAAGTGTTGCGACTTGAGTAGTATCGTGTTTCCCGCCACGGCGACGGTTAACGCGTGCCCTGCGGCTCGCTAAGACCGGACCCACGCTGGTGGCCGTACTCCTTCGGGATACGTGTACACCACAATGTTACTCTAGCATAACCACGAGGGACACGTACTTCTGTCAAGCTCGCCAGCCAAGTGCATTTTCCCAACAAAACACGCACATTGGTTCGTGCGAAGGTCTGTCAAAAATCGCAGTGTTACCAAAACGGGCAAACTCTAACTGTATATGAAAGTTGAGTGGCGGGACTAATTACTAGAAAGTGCTGGGTACACGTGAATCAATTTCAACATGCCAAAATCTACGATCCAAAGCATCGATCACAGGTGATCGATTTGGATAAGTGTGGTAACAAAAAAAAGTTAAGAAATGTCAGGCAGTCCATATTAATCCGAAGGAAGGAAAAACAACAAGAAAAAGGGCAAGGACTTTAACGAGGCACATTATTCTGGACTCCACAACTGTTTAGATATGAACATTGATTCATTTAGGCATTTGCCATTAAACCTGCACGATTGATGCAGCGCTAAAGGCGAAGACGTAAAACAGAGTGCGCAGTGCGAGCGCTTCGTCAATCATACAAGCCAAACTTTCAATCTTATTGTACTCTTATAGCACTAAGGCGACGCCCAGCGAGTGAAAGGACGACACGAAACAAAACAAATACGTACACGAGCGTTGGTCTGCGTCCTTATACCATAACGGTCAAGCAACTAGCCCACGAATACATTCTAAGCAAACATATTACATCCTAACGGACATATGATGTACTGATTGTGACGACCAGGAGGCAAGCGCCCTCGTTTTCTGGGGGACCTGGTGCAACCGATACTGACGTCCAGCGACATCATGCCCTCCAAGGCACGCTCCGAGTCCAACCTTTTCGGCGACCCGAGGAGGCAGCGTGAAGTGGCCATGCTGGTGCCCAACCTGCACCTTCTGCTCGCCCGCAGGGGAGAAGGAGTGCTGTGAGTGACCATTCGGTACATTTAAATTGGAGCTCTCAATCTCGCCATCACCTCGGCTAGCGGGACAAACTCAGGAAATTTAATTCCTCAAGGAGCCCTTACAGTCAAGTAGGATTGCAGGGGAGGAGGGGAGAGGGGAGAGAGATAAACATGCAAGGAAAGGCAGGGAGGTTAACCAGACGCACATCCGGTTTGCTACCCTGCACTGGGGAAGGAATAAAGGGGAGAAAAGAGGTTGCAGAGAGATGAGAAGGTACACACAATCACGAGCATGCACACTCGGGGAGCACACACAGTCTACAGGCGGTCGCTCAGGTTTGTTTACTTTAGGTAAAGTAGCAGTGCTTTAGTTGCTTTCTGCGCAACTGAGGCAGATGCCCAAGGTCCTAGTATCTTCTGCACACAAAACGGTCCGGGGTCAAGTTGATTTGAAACCATCCGGAGCTGGCATCGCTGTGTGTCGTAGCAAGCGCAGCTGCACAGGACGTGTTCGATGGTCTCTTCAGCTCCGCAGTAGTCGCATGTAGGAGTGTCTGCCATACCAATGCGAAAGGAGTACACCAGTTTGTACAGAATGTCAGGGTCTGCCTATATCTTAGCACCGCTAAAGTTGTTTCAGCGCAGAATCATCCAGAAAGAGGCAAAGGGAAGGCACGGAGGTTAAACCAGGTTGCTCTCGATTTGCTACCCTAGGTGGGAGGGGGGGGGGAGAATAAGAATAGAGAAAGAAAAACAAATGAAGTATCCCCTCGCACGCATAGCAGCGTTTACCGCGCACAACCAGACGGTTTTCGACTGCGACATGCCACACAGCGCAGTTCGACTTCGACTATCTTACACGGGAATTTTATTTTGTCGCGCAGCTTCAAACCAAGCAGGAAGCTCGTCCGCAACGTCCTGCCCCCTAGCCTGTACCGAAAAGAACTCCAAAAGCAGGTAAGGCGTTTCAGTCGCTTGTACCTCTAGTGTTTCGACCACTTGCATCCTCTTCATTAAGTGAACTTCTGAGCCTGTAGGAGAAACACGCATTCAAGGCGAATCCTCAGATGCCTCACCAAACACGAACACCATCCGCCGGCGTTAACAATAGTGATGCAAAATGTCATCCCTAAGTGATGTCGCGGCAGATCATTTGTCACGTAATCACGACGTCACCTGGTGACGTCATCATATCACATCGTCACTTAGCCATGGTTGGGCCAATCACAAGGGCAGCGCAAAACCACGTTGGGGACAGAGTTTTCGAACATGGGGTGGATCAATATCTCGACTAAGACAAAAAAAAAGAAGAGCAACGCTTTCAACTTCAAGCACCTTAACAAATGCATAAATGACACTAAATGTTTTTTTTTTCCTATGCCAGATCAACCTTCGTTGAAAATATCAGGACAAATTAAACGTATACGACCGGAAAGTACATTCCCAATAAGTCCACAGAATTGGAAGTTCCCGCCTTAATGAAATTCTTACAGTTTCAGGGCAAGTGCAAACAAAATAAATATCAACGTAGCGAAGGTAACCTACGTGCAGCAAACTCCTCGTACCAGGTGCGCATCACAGAGCAACGGAGCGTGCAAAGACAAACATTCGCGCGCCGTTTGGGCGGCATACAGTATAGCACACTTTTACGCACACAAAGGAGTGTCTGGCAGTGGCCTTTGCAGATGACGCTATCCACCCTCTGCGGGCGTTCTCGGAGCACCGCATTCTGGTCACGGATCGACGAATGCCCGATCAGAAGGGTCATCTTTTCCGTCGCCTCATTAATTCAAACACGTAACCAGTGACCGGCTGGTTTACATGCCTGCGGCGTCAATAATTAAATTATTATTTTTATTGCGGTAAATCGCTTCGTTCTCATCACAAATAGCAAGAGTGAATATTTGCAGTGTTATGGATTAATGTCGATGATCAGTCTGCTTCGCGAAAAGGACGCAGAACCTTGTCAAAAAATCTCACAGGATGCCCTAAGCATTCGCCCGAATGCCCGTTCACACCTGCGGCCAGCACCGGTCGTGCGATCATTTGCGACGGGTGACGGAAAAGCGATTCTACGTGACGGACCTTCACACGTGCGTGCGACTTATGCCTGTCGAAACACGGAATTCACGTATGCTCGCATATAGCCATTGCCGCGTAATATATAAGCCTGACGTTCTCTTCCTGCGCATCTAACGGGTTTCGGAGGCTTGCGACTGTAGAAGCGCGACTGAAAGATCAAGCAGCGAGCGACTGAGCCGAAACATAGTCGCTTTGTGACCAAAGCGGCCATTTGCGAAAATTTGCAACCAGTCGCTTAGCGACTACCTTGGTCGCATGACCTGAGCTAGTTGTGGTGTGAAAACTAGCCTTAATACAACTCCAAGGCGAAACCATTTCATTGTGCGCTCGAAGCCGAAGTCTAAAGCCACTAATTAACTCCTACTAAATAACACACCATTCTGTTAATTTCATTTTATTAAATGTAATTGATTTTCAGTAATTACTTTTACCAACAAAGTGTCGCTAATTGAAACATTATCAGACATTTTTCGCACCAAAACCTTCTTTATCATTATTAGTCATGCCGTAGCGGAGGGACGGTAGATATAGCGCGAGAACAGAACGACGACAAAGGGACAAGGAGACGTTGTCGCCGTTCTCTTCTCGCGCTATGTGTATACCGACGTCATACCAACTAGCCCAAACCACCACACTTCTAAGTAGCGGAGGGACCACGAAATGTCGGCCATCTTGTGTTCTCTAACATGCACTAACATCGCGCAGCTATAGAATTTCACCTTCATCGAAATGCGACCGTCGCGACCGGAATCAAAGCCGCGACTTTCTGATCAACAGAACTTTCCCGGAATAACTCTCTATTCACTTAATTTAATTTGATTGTCAGCACACATACATGCACAGTCGTACTTTCGCTCGCTTTTGTGTGGCTTTGGCTTTCATGAACGTCACGTTGTCTTTTTTTTTCTTCGTTTCTCACACGCCGGTTTTTTTTTTGGTTTTTTTTCAAGGCAACGTCCGCATGAGGCATGAAAAGGTCTTCACCTCAAATAACGTTATAACGTTGAGCCTAAGGTACGGGTAAGGGGGGCCAGATTAAAGATGAAGCACGGAAAGTGGCACGGCACGGTGTATTGTACCCGGAGAAGAGATCAATCATGTATATAGGAAGCAACACTAGTCGATAGGCTATCCCATGGATCCTACACAGTATCGTGCACTGCACACATGAACACCAAAATATTAAGTTCTAGTCTCTACGTCGGCAGGTTACACTTTTGGAACATAAATTAGTATCTCGCAGTCAGCGGAAATAACCATAGACTACATGGGGCTAACTCCACGCGACCTATGCAATCTATACAGTCTACGTGTGTGGAGCTAATTATCGTCCATCTAGTCTAGTTTTGTGCTGGTTAACAGGATGGAACGCCAATTAACCCGGCGACATATCCTATTGCAGTATATCTCAGTTTATAGCAGCACTCGCTTACAGCAAGAGACGGTGTCGAGCAAATTACCCCCTCGGCTAAACCTGAAGCAGATCGAGGAGAAGCAGCATCGACTGGACGAGCAACGCCGGCGTGACCAGGAGGAAGAGGAGAAGCTCGATAGGAGAGTCCAGCAGCAGCAGGCCAAGATGTACCAGGAGTACCAGGAGGAGAGGAAGAGGCACAGGGCCAAGGACCAGGTAACCATTTGCTTCGACGGCGCTGTCGCTTAAACGCTCGAGTGAGCCGAAATGCGAACTGTTCGACGTCAGCTATATCTAACTGTTGATGAAAATCGAGATTATCGTACGGTCCTGTACAGACGTCTATATACAAAACATAGGTATATCGTTTTCAAAAATGCAAGTAGTGTTTGTTAAGGCGAGTGCCCCGTCAAACAAACAAAAAAAATGACCAGCGTCCCCCGTCAGCCGCGCGGAACACGAGTAATGCGAAAAAATCATCATGACGTGATGATGTCACCCTATGAAGGCATCATGTCATCGCAATGTCACTGTGATATCAAAAGGTGACGTCATCACATGACGTCATTACTTGGTTGAAGGTGGGCCGATGCCGGAAGCAGCGCGAAACAACGCGAAGTGCACAAACTTTACCATGCCTCTGATCCTGGAGGCATTGTAACACCACGTTAGTTTCAGAAAGCTTTCGCAGGGGTTCAATACATTGACTTAAAAGAAAAACATGACAGATATCACCCTCTATTCGACTAAGGCGAATGCATAAGGGCTAGACCCTGTGCGTTTTTCTCTCTCGCTCTCTCTCTCTTTTTTTTTTTTTTTGCACTGTGTAGAGAGACATAGTGGCTAATTTGTTACGCGTTTTGCAGGCGTAGCCACGGGTGTAGTTCGGAGAGTCAACGCTCTCCCTTCTCTCGGAATTTTCACATTCTTAATGTGCATATTGCCACGTGCGTTATTTTGATGTATTCGGGCTTCACCCATGGCGACTGTTTTCAACGCTCCGCGCTGACCACGACGCGATGTTTCAGAGGCTTCACGACAGCTTTAGATGACTGCGTGCGGGACGCGAATATTCTAGTTTCATCAAGAGATCACGCGGCTACCAGGGAATACACTTGAATATTCGATGGCAAACGTATGAAAGCCCACACATTTTACTGCTTGTCAGTTTATCGACGGTCATACGCTCTGTTCATCGACATGAGCACACTGCGCACATTGTTTCTGTTGTTTGAGTTATTGTTTCCCAGCCACAAGTTAGTTCGGCCAAATAAAGAGTTCAATCCTGGACAAGCCAACTGCAGCCTTCGTCCACGTCACAATCCCGTGACAATGACATTACGGGAGGGGAGGGGGGACACACCTTACTACTTCCAGAAAATAAATTTCTGGCTCGTACTTCGTCTATTCATCACTCCCCACCATCGTCAACTTATGCAGGTGCGTTCAGCTGGGCTCGATTCCAGATGCCGCCAAAATTGTCTTAAATTACAGTCAACATCCCCGAGAACACAGCTTAATAGCTCCATGTACAGCCATGTTCTGTACAGATTTGAGCGTTTTTTTTTTCTGACAGGACCTTTATTATGCGTATATATGAACGAACATTATTATGAACATGTATTCTTTTCTCCCTCCCTCTGCGTCTTTCTTTTTTTTTTGCAATCTACATTTGTAAATAAGTTCACCTAAGTCCGCATACAATTAACTACCGTGATATTTCTGTAAAATGCTGCCAGGTTCCCACCAAGCTATAATTGCACCTTTCTAGTCTAATCTTTGACGTAACTTAGATGCGGAGTGAATTTAATTCATTACAATCGAATCAGCGCATATGTGGCCGAATCAGTTAGAAACGTAACCGCTCTTCACTGGGCACAACGGCGCAGGTGACCCGACGCCCAGAGCAGACCACGAAGGGCCAACAGGAAAAGGAGAGAATGATGATCGAGACGAAGAGGTCGGTTCCTCATGTCAAGCCCCAGAAGTCGGTAAGCGCAAATGGCACATGCCCTATAGAACCGGATTCTTTAGCAATTAAATGTTTTTTTTTTTCATTGAAACGTGTGATTCGTGTGCCGACAGCTACAGGTATGTGGTATGAGAACAGAAATATTAAGACAGAAGCGACCTACATTATCACACAAAAAATTCAAATCATCTCTATCGAAACTATTTGATTCAGAAACAGCATTCAACCATTGCTCATCTCCTCAGTTATTAAAGGGACACTTAAGTCAACTATTAAGTCGACGATGATTGTTGAAATGGCGGTCCAAAAACCTCCTAGCGTTACTTTTGTGCCAAGGAAGGGACTGTTTTGAACCAAAATCCCGTTTTAGTGCTCCGCATCGGGTTAGCGCACTTCAAATCACACGCCTCAAGAAGCGGACGGACCGGATCGTGTCACGTCACTGTTGCCATGCACAACGTTGCTCGGCTTTACTGCGCTTGTAGCAACAGACGAAAAGCAGCGGGAGCCATCCGCAGCAACAACGGCCATTGATCAATTTTCCGTCATTGGCTTCGAGATTGCAGACGCTTTTGTTTCAACTGCGCAGCGCTAGATGGCACCACCTGTCCCGTGTACCCACGCGAAAATTGAATTTTTAACCACTCGCGCCATTCCCTATAGTAACTTCCGGCTGTTATTTTTTCCATGAATAAACAGAAACGAATAAGCAGCATTTCTCTTTACCTCTATATAATTTATTCAAAATCCCTTTCAACGGGAACTCTACCCGAAGATTGGAAAATTTCTCATGTTGTTCCGGTTCATAAGGGTGGCTCAAAAAAAGATGTAACAAATTACAGACCCATTTCATTGACGTCAGTGGCATGCAAAATTTTCGAGCACATTTTATCCAAGCACATATTGACCCATCTTACTGCTAATAATGTATTAATAAATGAGCAGCACGGTTTTCGTAAAGGTTTTTCTTGTACGACGCAACTTGTAGAGTTCTTTCACGAGCTGGCTTCCAACGTTGATGCAGGTGGACAAACAGATTGCGTGTTTTTAGATTTTCGAAAGGCCTTTGACACCGTGTCACACTCTCTTCTCCTGGCTAAATTACAGACTCTAAATTTCGACCCAAATGTGTTCATCTGGATAACCAATTACTTGCTGAACAGGCGTCAATGCGTTCTTTTAAATGGGAAGTGTTCATCCTATGTTAACGTTACATCAGGCGTGCCCCAAGGCTCTGTCCTTGGGCCTCTCTTATTTCTTATTTTTGTAAATGATATTTTTGTGGGTATTTCGTCGCGCATGCGTTATTTGCCGACGATTGTGTGTTATATCGACAGGTTCAGAACAAAGGTGACTGTGCTTATTTGCAGAACGATTTGGATTGTATTGTACAGTGGTGCCAGAAGTGGCAAATGACGCTAAACCCCAAAAAGTGCGTTCATATGCGTGTTTCCAAAAAAAAGAAACCAATAGTAACGGCGTACACCATAGATACGCATATTGTTATTACCGAACCAACATGCAAATATCTTGGCGTTGTTTTGTCGCATGATTGCTCATGGAATGCCAATGTTGATCACGTTGTTAGCAAAGCGGCAAGGGCTCTAAATTTCATTCAGAGGAACCTAAGATTGGCACCCCGAAAATTAAAAAATACGGCCTATCTCACATGTATTAGACCGATTTTGGAATACGCATGTCCTGTGTGGGACCCGATGCAGGCGAACTTGATTGATAAGCTTGAAAAAATACAAAACAGAGCTGCGCGGTTTGTTTTAGGGCGGTACGAGCGGAGAGACAGCTGCAGTGCTATGAAAGCTGAATTGGGTTGGGAATTGCTTTCTTTACGCAGGAAAAAACTGCGTTTGAAGTTTTTCTTTTCTGTTTTTCATGGGCGGACTGGGATTGACCGTCATAACTATTTCAGTGAACCCAGCTACATATCTAGTCGACATGACCACCGACGCAAAGTGAAAGAGTATCGAGCAAGAACGACCATGTTTTATAATTCCTTTTTTGTGATGACCATTAGAGATTGGAACCAGCTGCAAGACGAGCAAGTGTGCTGTATAAACGAAGAATTGTTTTATTCCAGTCTGTAACCCCCCTGCTGTAACGCCTTTTTGAGCAAAGCGGGGTACTCACTGAATAAATAAATAAATAAATTGTATTGCGTATCTTGAAGCACGGAATGTTCTTTATTTACTGCAGCTAGATCGATTACTAGTGATTAATAGTAGGCGGTCCATCTGATGTCATCGGGATCATTTTGAAAATATCCTACAGCGGCGCTTGTGTTCTTGTGTATAAACCTTAATTTCTCGGTAAGTAGAACACTGTTGTTGATAATATTGTCGTTTTAAATGCTGCCATACATTGAGCGTTCATTCAGACGTAAATTGTTATTTTACTTTAGCGTCCCTTTAATAGTACCATGTAATTACGCACCGTGTAACTACGCCCAACAGGAAGAGAGTAACGATGCTAATCACGAGGGCACGGGTTCTGTTCCCAGCCACTGGGGCCGCATAGCAATGGGGGCGAGGTGTAAAGAACACCCGCGTACTTCCGGTACTAGATACGAAGCAGCTCTTTGACTAGCCTGTGTAACGCTGTCCCTCCGTCCACATCGCTCCCGTCGCCGCAGGCGTTGGAGCGGTGCCAAGTATCTCACGCCCTCCTAGCAGTGCGCGGTGACGTCTCTCTCCCCTCGCCCGCCGCACGCCCGCCGCGTGTCAGCTCTCTATTCCTTCGCCCTCTCCACCGCTCACACAACGCTCGAACCCACTCCTCACGTGTGCATCCTCTTACCGGCGCCCCCTCTCTCCATCTGTCGGCGAGAAGCCCGAGCCGGCGAAGTGCGCGCGCCTCGAGAATCTCGCGGCGCCGACAGTGCGCCGCTGCTTGCTACGCGCTCGCACCGACGGACCTGGACGCCGTCGCGGCATGCTTCCCGCTAGTGTGCGCTTTCCTATCCCGGCTGTCGCCGGCGTTGCGAGGGTTAACGAAGCCGAATCGCGTTCGCGAATGGCGATGTCAACACCGACGAGGCACGAGCCAAGGAAGCCGAGCGCAAGCGTCAACGCGTCCAGCCTCTCATGTCTTTGTGTTTCAAACAAACGTTTACTCGAGTAAACGATACACCGAGTTTCACTTCAAACCATTCTTCCAGTACCCGCGTCTACGTGTGTGAGCCGCCATTACCGCGGTATATCGCTTCAATTAACACTACGAACGTAGTAACTACAGCTAAGAGCTTCACACGCTTTTTTTTCACTTTCAGGTGACCCGTCCTCCGGAAGACAGTCGAAAGATCAGGAGTGACGCCGCCCCCGACTTCCGGCCTCCCCGGCGGAGAAGCGGTAAGGTCTGCGAAGCTCTAATGTCAAAGACAACATAATTTCTACAAGGGTCGAGAATCAAAGGATCGAACCACGCGACCTAAGTATATGCATATCTACTGTTGCACCATAATCAGACAGTATTTAATTTTGCAGAGAACCAGTCTGTGCTAATGAATTACTTGTGTTAAAACGCTCATACTTCCACGATCAACTTCAATAGAAAGGGTCTTTACAGTAGGCTTTTCTGCATAGGGTTTTAGGACGCACCCGCCTTCCCGAAACCGGCATCCATTAGTGCAGGCATAGGTAGGGTTCTCCATCTGATGGGGGTGGGGCAAGGGGTTGAATGCAGCTCCCCCCTGCCTTAAGTCAATATATGGGGCAGATTTTTCACCCCCCCCCCCATTTTAGGTGACTAGCAAGAGGTGGCAGCACCCCCGCTCCGTGCGCATCCCTATAAGGGCCGCTGCTTTCTAAAGTAGCAGGCTAGAGCAAACTAGCTCAGGCCGACCTCTCTGTCTTCTAATAAATTCTCACTCTCTCTCTCTAAAGTTGCACACGGCAACAGCGTCTCAGTGAAATATTTATCAGAGCCACCTATAACAATGAACCATACATCGCATACCATGCAGGGCACCGTCATGGAGGGCTAAACTTTTAGGGGGGGGGGGGGAGAGGGAGGGAGGGATTGCGCTCACTTCATGCGGTGCCTTATCTGACCTACTTACTCTACATTGTTACCTCTCCACAGAGCGGATTATATATTCAAGTCGGTGTCCTTCACCCCTGATACCAAGGCCTTTCTGTGTTCATTCCATCATTCTCTGCAAGGAAATGTGTAACGGTGTTCACTGAGCATAGCTTTTGACTCGATTCCACTGCCGTATTTGCTCACATACTACAAGAACCTAATGCTAGTGAGATGTTGGCTAAATTATATGGATTATGTTGGTGACTGCTCTCGAATGCTGTCTCTCCACACGCTAATAAGAAACACTCGTCGTCGTCGTCATCAGCATCATCAGCCCGTCTTCATCCATTCTAAACCTAGTGACGGAGTTGACCAGTCTGTTTTATCGAAGTATTCCTGCTTGAACAACACAACTGCTTGTTTAATTAAAACCCTCTAATGTACACAAGCAGTTATGCCCTTAGATAAATTGAGAAAGCTCAAAATTTTCATCAAGTAGAGTGCACGAAAAAAATAAATGAAGCTTATTTTTAAAACATTACCTTAATTAGTTTTAATAAAATAATTAGTTTGATTGAATTGCATTTCAGACTAACTTCATTAGAACATGTTAAATATGACCCAACTTGCTTTCCAGGAGCTTTGACAGGTTTATTACATTTTTCGAGGCATCATATTCGATCTATCAAATATGGTAGAGTGGGCATTGCAAAGGTATATACCAAAATTAGCAAAACACGAAATCATTCTATGATTTATCAAGCTCCTCGAATACAGTTGGGACATCATATAGGATGATTGTATAACAGAACAGTATCCTCAACGGCGAAATGCAGTGACCGAAAATTCTATGTAGACAGAAGACATGTTAGGGAGAGAAGCGTTTCGATCTTTTTTAAAACCTGCCGGAAGGCGCGTTGATCGGGGATATATAGGCCTCACGAGCAACGTTCGCAGTGGAGGCTCATGACGCTCTTTCTTCCTCGACCACGCAGAGTCACGTGACAGACTGGCCAACAACGTTGAGATCCTGCGGCGGCAGCTGGCAACGGAACAGCAGATCAACAGGATACAACAGATGCGGGTAGGTCAGCGCTAGTTACTCCAATTTTCCTGCTACTGTCGAAATCAAATATATTTCACTCGCTGAAGAAACTAAGACTACTTCGATAAATCGAACAATTCGATATAGAACTTTTCAAGAACTTGCCATAGTTTCGGCATGATTTCGGTGCGCAAGTTAGCTTCATGTCATTGCTATGCGATAGCGCGTGGAAGGCGACTTCACAGCAATACGTCTTTTTATTTTTATTTTAGTTGCGGTTACAAATTACGTGCAGGTGCGGCTTATACGAAAAATAGAGCATTCATGTAAACAGCGCTTCGACATTTTTATACGCAGCCTGTACGTACTCGTCGGCCACCTTGACCGACGAGTACTTGGATCTTGGTTTTGATTTTCGGTGTACTCAGCGTGCTTCTCGGAACGCTCTACGCAGCGGCAACGCCACACTTCTTTTCACTACGTTTGGCTGTGTTGGTTGTCTCCGGCCTTGCAGAGAAGTGCCATATTTTACAATATGGGTATATTCCCTTCCGTAAGAAAAAGCCAACCTCTTGGAGTGTTTCGCAGTGCCAATATTCGATATATCAAGCATCCCTACTATTTTTGTTCGCTGTAGCCGTAAATTTGCCAGCGCATCGATGACAAGGCATTGTCATGTTCGAAATAGCCCGTAATAAAGGGCGTAAACATTCACAAGAGCTCTATATAGTTTAATTTGACTGTATAATGGACCTTTTACTTTATTCGCTTGCGTGTTACCCTGTTCTTTTGCAGAAGAACTACGTTGTCACCGAGACTGGCCGCTGCGAGGACTCGGACTGCTGAGTGAACCCCACTGATTTTAAGCATTCTGCTGCTGAGGCGATGGCTGATCCCGCAGACACTCCGTGCCGTTGTTTCAAGTTGCCATAAATAAATAAGCTTCACAGTTCTGTTAACGCCAATTCATTCTCTTGTCAGCACTGACGTACCCGCAGAGGGAGGGGGGTTATCCTCTCCCCCGTTCCACAAAATCTTTCCTTTTTCGCAATTTATCTATACGCGTACATACAAACGCACGCCTTAACGTACACAAAGTATTATTGAACCCCTTTCCCCCTGAGAGAGAAAGAGAGAAATAACATATATTTTCCCCCGTCGAGGGTGACGGGGTAGAAGGGTTTGGTCTCTGCACTTACAATACATCTAACCACCGGCCGGAATCCCTTGAGGGGGGAGGGATCTCTCTGACCGCTGTCGAGCCCCACCCCCATACCCACACTCTTACCCGAAACAAAAATTATGGATACGTTACTATTTGCCACCCAGAAGCAAATTCACGATGAATACGTGGAGCATGACTCTAACGGTATACTTTATTTATTTACTGACTTTATGATATTGTAGCAAAGCCGATCTCGACGGAAATTCGTCTGGTCAGGCATTGGATGAGATGAAACACAGTCTTTGGCCAAGTCTGATGATGATCTGGGAGGCTGATGATCTGACCGAGTTGACTGGCGGAACATGGGAGAGGCCTTTGTCCTGCATTGGATGTATATATATATATATATATATATATATATATATATATATATATACCCTATTGAAACGATCCGTATGCGATGTCCAATAATTCCGTATGTTTCCGTAAGAGTCTTACGGAAATATATGGAAAATATATAGGAAACATATCTATTTTTACGGAAACATACGGAATTATTGGACATCATATACGGATCGCTTCAATAGGGTATATATATATATATTATATATATATATATATATATATATATATATATATATATATATATATATATATATATATATATATATAATATATATATATATATATATATATATATATATATTGTGAAGAAGAAGATGTGCCTGCAGCAAGCAGCATCGCCAACGCCCGGCTCTCTCGGCTCGTGCTTCGGTTCGTTGCTGTGCCGATCGCTGGACGGTTCTTGACGCTGTCTCGTCGCTGGCTTTAACGGCTAATAAACCGCCTCACATTTGGTGGAAGGTGCTGTTAATCCCCGTTGCTACACCCTGGAGCTGCGAAGCCGCACGCTACCACCTGTCATGACTGCCAACGCCACTACATCTACGCCATCGCTCCAGTTCAACTGCCCTGGCCATCCTAAACTACGGGAGCCGAAGGTCTTCAGCGGTGCGGATGGGACCGACGTCGAAGACTGGCTCGAGCACTACGAACTGGTGAGCGCCAACAATAAGTGGGATGAAGCCGACAAGCTGGGCCACGTGATATTTTATCTCACTGGCGTCGCCGAATTGTGGTTTAATAACCACAAACACAACATCCCCACATGGAGCGTCTTCAAGACGTCATGTGCTGAAGTGTTCGGTCGGCCGGCTGTCCGCAAGCAGAGGGCAGAACAGCGCTTGCGCGTCCGCTCTCAGCAGACTGGCGAGACCTTTACCAGTTATATTGAGGACGTCGTCGACCTTTGTCGACGTGTGAATGACACCATGCATGACCGAATCTGACAAGGTCAAAAACATCCTGAAGGGCATCGACGACGGCGCATTTCAGATGCTCTTGGCAAGAAATCCAAGCACAGTTTCCGAAGTCGTCAGCTTGTGTCAGAGCTACGACGAGTTGAAAAAACAACGCACTCTGACTCGGCAGCCTCAGCATGGTGGTGAGTCACTGTCCAGTTTCGACACCCTGCCGGACAATTCACCACTGCTTCAGCAAGTTCGAGCCTTCGTCCGTGAGGAAGTCGCCCGCCAACTTTCCCTTGTGCCCTTCACTCACGAGACCACCACCCGTCTACCTGCCCCGCTTCGCACTGCTATTTCGGAGGAGGTTGCCCAAGCTGTTCCTGTTGCGCACCACGAGCCGCCTCTATCCAGCCTTGCCCACTGCCAGCGTGCTGCTCAGCCGGTAGGCCCTCCTGTCACCTATCCGCCAGCCGTTCAGCCTGTGGCCGCGCCCCTAACCTATGCAACGCAGCCTGTGGCTCCGCCTGTCGCCTTTTCGCAAGAGATGCAGCCCGTAGCCGCGCCGCTCACATATGCAGACGCTGTACGTAGGCTCCCGCAACCACCCTACACCACGCGCTCACAGCCCGCACACCCGGCTGCTTATACTGCACCTTGGGCGGCAGCACCAGTCGCCAATCCCTGGAGGACGCCCGATAACCGACCGATTTGCTACGCTTGCTTCACTCCCGGACACGTTGCTCGCTACTGCCGCCGTCGACCTCAGACGTTCGGCAACTATGCCCGGTCGTCGCATCCCGGCAGCCAACCTTTCGTCCAATACGGGCCGGTCTCGCCACCTCGCTATGCGCCTACTGACCACCTTGACTTCCAGCCGCAACGCGCACCCTCTCCTCGTCGGCGATCGCCCTCCCCCATGCGTCGCCGGCCCGGACCCTCCGACCAGGAAAACTAAGCAACGCAGTTCAAGAGGCAAGAACTGCGCCGTTTTCGAACTGTCTAAGCCCTCGCTCCTCTCCTGCTAACGTGGTCGCAGTAACTGTTGAAGGTTATTGTACTTTCGCCCTTGTGGACACTGGCGCCGCTGTTTCTGTTATTGCCGCTAATCTCTGCCGTTTATTACGCAAAGTAACGACGCCGCTCTCGGGACTGTCGCTTCACACCGCAAGCGCACAGCAAGTAACGCCTCTCGCAGCCTGCACTGCAAGAGTCTCCATCGAAGGCATTCTTTACATCGTGGAGTTTATTGTTCTTCCTGTCTGTTCGCATGACGTCATCCTCGGGTGGGACTTCCTATCCCGCCATAATGCCGTCATTGACTGCGCACGCGCCGAAGTTGAGTTTTCGCCCTTGTGTGATTTCCCGTTACTGGACGCTCCTCATCAGCCGCCGAAGTTGCTCGTTCATGAAGATACCGATATTCCGCCTGGAAATTTCGCCCTTGTTCTCGTTTCATGCAACGCCTACACTGACGCTACAGTTCTTTTTATGCCTTCCGATATCTTCAAATGTCGTCGAGCTTTGCCGCTGCCTTTCGCAACAATTGACCTTGCCGCCGGAAGAAGCAACATGTTCGTAAGGAATCCGCTTTCCACACCTGTCACATTGCTTGCGGGGGAATGTCTCGGCCGCGTGCAGGATCTCGACCCTTCATTTTTGTTTGATGTCCCGGACGACTACTGCGACTACCCAAAAGCACTATCGGCACTCGGGGAGTCGTCCAATGATACGTTTTCAAGCGCCATCGCCGACACTCTCACTCCCACCGAACATGCCGACCTGCTGGATCTTCTCCATGAGTTCAGGAGTTCGTTCGATGTGTCGCAACCTCAACTGGGCCGCACATCACAAGTCAAACATCATGTTGACACCGGCCTAATCCAGCCACTGCGTCATAGACCATACCGTGTCTCCGCTGAAGAGCGCCGCGTCATCAACGATCAAGTCGAAGATATGCTTCGTAGAGACGTCATTCGACCTTCTCACAGTCCCTGGGCGTCTCCCGTCGTCCTGGTGCGTAAGAAAGACGGATCTATCCGATTTTGCGTGGACTATCGTCGTTTGAATAAGATAACCCGCAAGGACGTCTATCCTTTGCCGCGCATTGATGACGCCATTGACACCCTCCACGGAGCGGAATTTTTCTCGTCGCTAGATTTGCGGTCTGGCCACTGGCAGGTCCCAATGGCAGAAGCTGATCGCCATAAAACGGCATTTATTACACCAGACGGACTATATGAATTTAACGTCATGCCCTTTGGGCTTTGTAACGCGCCTGCCACGTTTGAACGTCTTATGGATAATACGCTACGTGGCCTCAAATAAAATATGTGCCTTTGTTACCTCGACGATGTCGTTGTTTTCTCCCATGACTTTCCTACGCACCTCCTTTGCCTCAGGCACGTTTTGAGTTGTCTGACCAACGCTGGCCTGCAGCTTAACCTAAAAAAATGCCGCTTCGCTGCACGCGAGCTCGTCATCCTAGGCCACATCGTGTCCAAGCACGGCGTATTACCAGACCCAGCAAAGCTTCGAGCAGTCGCAGAATTTCCCAAGCCGACGACCATGAAAGAACTTCGCAGTTTTGTAGGCCTATGCTCCTATTTCCGGCGCTTTGTTCGCAATTTTGCATCTATCATGTCACCGTTAACCCAGCTTCTTCGCGGTGACGTGAACCTCACCTCCTGGTCTCCTGCATGTGACGTTGCCTTCACTACTCTGCGCCGGCTGCTCACTTCCCCACCTATTCTTCGCCACTTCGACCCGACGGCTCCTACCGAAGTGCACACCGACGCCAGCGGCGTCGGGCTAGGCGCGGTCCTCGCTCAACGAAAGCCCGGCTATTCAGAATACGTTGTAGCCTACGCTAGCCGCACTCTGATGAAAGCCGAAACTAATTACAGCGTGACAGAAAAAGAGTGTTTGGCTCTGGTGTGGGCGCTTGGAAAGTTCCGGCCGTACTTATACGGCCGCCCGTTCGATCTAGTAACTGATCACCACGCGCTTTCCTGGCTCTCCACATTGAAAGACCCTTCTGGCCGCCTTGCGCGATGGGCACTCCGCATACAGGAGTACAACATTCGCGTCGTATACCGCTGCGGACGCAAACACTCTGACGCTGATGCCCTGTCCCGCTCACCTTTACCACCAGATCAGACGTGCGGAAACACTTGCCTCCAGACCTTGTCATCGCTAAATCTCGACTCGATTGCCAACGAACAACGTCGTGACCCGTGGATCGCCTCTCTTATCGAATATTTATCTGGCACGCCCAACCTTCCAGTATCTAGATCCCTCTGACGTCAAGCTTTCCATTTCGCCATCCGCGATCAACTTCTTCATCGACGCAACTACGCTCCCGTTGGCCGCCGGTGGTTGCTGGTCATTCCACGCACTTTACGATCGCAAGTATGCGCCTCCCTTCACGACGATCCGCAATGTGGCCACGCCGGAGTGTTCAAAACATATGAAC